GGCGGCCCCACAGGCACGCCAGACCCGCGGGGCGGCGGGGGAAGACAGGTCTTAAGAGACAGCGGTTCCGTGTGGGAACTGGAGGGCAGCCACGCTGCTTTCCTGCCGGCTGCCAGAGCAGCTGTCAACAATTTTTTTTTTCCATCATTTTTAATCAAGATATCAAGATCACCATGCTCCATCAGTTCAAGTATAGAATCATAGGACTGGAAGGGACCTCGAGAGGTCATCGAGTCCAGCCCCCCGCCCTTAAGGCAGGACCAAGCTCTGTCTACACCATCCCTGACAGATGTCTGTCTAACCTGTTCTTAAATATCTCCAGAGAGGGAGATTCCACCACCTCCCTTGGCAATTTATTCCAATATTTGACCACCCTGACAGTTAGGAATTTTTCCTAATGTCCAATCTAAACCTCCCTTGCTGCACTTTAAGCCCATTACTCCTTGTCCTGTCCTCAGAAACCAAGAGGAACAAATTTTCTCCTTCCTCCTTGTGACACCCTTTTAGATATTTGAAAACCGCTATCATGTCCCCCCTTAATCTTCTTTTTTCCAAACTAAACAAGCCCAGTTCATGAAGCCTGGCTTCATAGGTCATGTTCTCTAGACCTTTCATCATTCTTGTCGCTCTTCTCTGGACCCTTTCCAATTTCTCCACACTCTCTCAAGTAATCTCAAGTAATTGAGATTAACATTTCTTCCACAATCTCTTCATCAATGACTTACACCGGGGCTAGCCGGCAGGGGAGGAGTCAATCCTGCGACCTACCCGTAAAGGGGCGAACGGCAAACCCGCGAGATTGCGTCTCTGCTCCCAGCTGGCGGTGGGGAAGCCCAGGGCTTCTTCGCGCTCCCCCCCCCCAGCCTCAGGAAGGGGTCTGGCGAGCACACGGGCATAAGGGCCCCCCACGCTCTTGGGGCGGGCTGCCGGGTCTTGCCTTTCCCAAGGCAATGAGCCGGGGTGAGAGGGTGGGAACAGGCTGTTATCCTGCAGCGATTCACGGTCTGTAATTGGAGCGGGGAGGGCAGCCTGACTCATAGCCAGGCTGCGCAGGGAGCTGTCCCTGGCCTCTGTTTGTCGGAGGCGGGGAATGGGCGACAGGGGAGGGATCACGTGAGGATTCCCGGTTCTGTTCCCTCCCTCCGGGGCACCTGGCATTGGCCCCTGTGGGCAGACAGGACCCTGGGCCGGAAGGACCTTTGGCCGTTCGCCTGTTCTTCTTATGTTCTCTTCAATGGCGATTGTCAGTAGAAGCTACTGATTTTGACCCCGTATCCTCGTGTCCTGTGATAACGAGGCTACAAATACCATTGGATGCAGCACGAGCACCCACCTCTCACACATACACACACACACGCACACACGCATCCACCCAACACACAGGCACGCTAACCTCCCTCCCCTGCTTCACCACTAGGGGGCGGTGTGCCGTGGCCTCTCGTTAGCTCTGGGGATCTCCTCCCGGCAGCGCCACAGTCCCTAAGAAACGGGCATCACTGGACCAGACCTTCATTCCCTTCGGCCTTGGAGGACCCGCATTGGCTCCAGTGGGCTTGTGGGTCAGGCCTCCACCCAACACACAGGCACGCTAACCTCCCTCCCCTGCTTCACCACTAGGGGGCGGTGTGCCGTGGCCTCTCGTTAGCTCTGGGGATCTCCTCCCGGCAGCGCCACAGTCCCTAAGAAACGGGCATCACTGGACCAGACCTTCATTCCCTTCGGCCTTGGAGGACCCGCATTGGCTCCAGTGGGCTTGTGGGTCAGGCCTCCGATCTATCGAGGCGTGTCCCGGCTCAGCCTTGGAGCGAGGCGGCAGAGGAGGCTCAGGCCACGGAGCAGGCGTGAGGACGGAGTCTGCCACAGTCCTTCCGTGTCCCTGCTGCTGCCAAGTGGCGCTTTGCCGGGGACGGCAAAGGGAGTCGGGATTCCACGCTGTGCGACTTCCTCGCCGGCGGAGGTCACCGCATCGCCGCACCTGGCCCTGCGGACAGCCTGGGGGTGGGGGATACCGCCCCCCGTCCACACCAGCTCCCCTCCCCCTGCCCCGCCGGGGCCCACACGGCAGCACAGAAAAGGAGCAGCTGTTCCTCCTCTGCTTCTGTCCCATGTAACCCACACGCCTGCTGGGCTGGGGTGCCGTCCCATGGAGCGGCAGAGACCACGGACAGCGAGAGGATGAGTTTGCTCTGCAGCGCTTGCTAGGAGCCAGCTGGTTTGTAGCTCAAGCGGTAGATGCTCCTGGATTAAGCTCTAGAAAGCACCAGTTTGGTTCTGCCTCCTGGCATTAAAGTGGCATTAGTTAAACCACAAGAGTTAAAGGGCAACAAAACTGGTGAGGGGTTTGCAACAGATCCCACAGGAAGAGAGATTAAAAAGATGGGGACTTTTCAACTTAGAAAAGAGGAGACTAAGGGGGGGTATGATAGAAGTCTATAAAATCATGACAGGTGTGGGCAAAGTTACTTACTTGTTCCCATGACATAAGAACTAGGCGTCACCAAATGAATAGGCAGCAGGTGTTAAACTAACAAAAGGAAGTTTTTCTTCACTCCGCGCTCAGTCAACTTGTGGAACTCCTCGCCAGAGGATGTGGTGAAGGCTAGAACTTTAACAGGGTTCAAAAAAGAGCTAGATACATTCACGGAGGTTAGGTCCATCAATGGCTATTGGCCACGATGGGTAGGACTGGTGTCCCTAGCCTACGTTTGTCTAGAAATGGGTGACAGGGGAGGGATCACGTGAGGATTCCCTGTTCTGTTCCCTCCCTCTGGGGCACCTGGCATTGGCCACTGAGGGCAGACAGGGCTCTGGGTCTGACCCCGTCTGGCCGTTCTTATATTCTAAGAGTTCTGTGCCATGGCTTTCGCACAAAGCCCTTTGGCTGGTGTACGGTGTTGTAACTCCTTAGCGGGTGGCATAGATAACCAGGTGAGAAGGGACCGTGATGATTACATAGCTTGACCATCGCTTTAATCTTCCCAGTCTAGAGCATCCCCGACAGGTGTCTGTCCAACCTGCTCTGAAATATCTCCAGGGATGGCGATTCCACCACCTCCCTAGTTTACCAGAGGGCACGATGAATTCTCCATCCCTGGCCATTTGTACATCACGAGGGGATGCTTGTCGGAAAGCTCCGCTGCTCTAGGGATTTCTGCGGGGAAGTCTCTGGCCGGTGTCGTCCAGACCAGATGATCACAAAGGCCCGGGCACGTGGAACTCTGTGATCTTCGGCAAAGCTGGATGCTGCCAAGCGCTTCCCGCATGGAGCCCGGAAGCTGTGGCGGAGGGAGAGGAGAGCT